GGCTAGTTATAAATAAGGCATTCCTATCACTCAGGAAATTCTAAGAATTGGACAGAGATCAAATATGGATATTCTGGTTGTGATAGTGTACTGTAGTTTTGCAAAATGTTTATCATTAGCCCTAGCCAGTTTAGCTTGGTGGATAGAGCGTCAGCCTGCAGGCTGAAAGGTATCCCCAGTAGGGGACGTGCAGGAAGCAAGCAGCTGGTCAACAACTCTCTCATCTTTGATGTTTCTATCTTTCTCTCCCTTTCCCTTCCTCTCTGAAATCATTAAAAATATGTTTTTTAAAAATGTTTATCACCCTAGCCGATTTGGCTCAGTGGATAGAGCGTTGGCCTGTGGACTAAAAGGTCCCTGGTTTGATTCTGGTCAAGGGCACATGCCCGGGTTGTGGGCTCAATCTCCAGTGGGGGGCGTGCAGGAGGCAGCCGATCAATGATTCTCTCTCATCATTGATGTTTCTATCTCTCTCTCTCTTTCCCCTTCTCTCTGAAATCAATAAAAATATATTTTTAAAAAATGTTTATCATTAGAGGAAACTGGGTAAAGGGAACATAGGATCACTCTAATATTTCTTTCAACAACAGGTGAATCTAAAATTATCTTAAAATATTTTTAAAAAGTGATGTAAAACATTCAAGGTTTTTGGGATTAATGAATATTTTTAAAGATTATTATGTTATTAAAACCCAGTATTGGAAATGGGTATTTCCAGTAATAGTTTTACATTTTTAATATGCTTAATCTTTAATTTAGCAATTCTGCAGAGAATTTAGTTTGTGATATAGTATTAGATAAATTATATACATCTATGAGTGGATAATGCAGATGAATGTTAACTGTACTATTCTTAGGTACTTGGATGCTGGTGCCTGCCTCATTTTACCAGAAAAGATAAAATGGAAAGTTTTCACACAATTCTACCACACTGCTACCTGGCTTATGACAGTTGTAAGACACCATTGTTTATAAGAAACATTCTGATTTCAGAACTTTAATAGTGTGTATGTTTTTGGGAAGTGCTTCTTAGAATCGATGAAACAGGGTGAATATCAATGTACTGAAATGGGAAGATATCCAAGATAATAAAATGAAAGAGCATATTGCAGAAGAGTTTGTATGGCATGGCCCCCTTTTTCCCCCCTTTAAAGCATATGTGCACATGCTTGTGTATTTTAAAAATTATTGCATACAGGGGTGGATAAAAGTAGGCTTACAGTTTTAATTCAAATAAATAATACAATGTTTAATAAATAATATAAAAATTCTCATACACTGTAAGCCTACTTTTGCCAACCCCTATATGATTAGTAGTATCTACAAGAATATCCAACAAATTGTTAATAATAATTACCTCTGAGCAGTTCAGTTTGCTAAAGAAAAGAAGAGATGTACGTGGAAGAGGGATTTACACCTTTTGCAGTTTTTAAAACAAAATTATTTTAATACAGTTCAACAGCTGGTCTTTGGATATTAAAGCCATGCTCTAGCATTGGAGACTACTATGCTGCAAATTGCATTTTGGCATTACAAACGGCTTACCAGTAGTTTCCAAGCTAATAGTAAGCAATCTGTAATAAAGTTTTTCATTTTATGTTGACTGGGATTTAATGAAATGGAAACTCATCCCCATGCCTATAGAGCATGCGCCTCTTTTGGTCTGAAGACAGATTTTCTTACTTTGTATACTTGCCATAGCTGCCAGTATCTGAAAGTCCCATCCCTACTGGAGCATTTATGTGACACTTTGGGGACTATGTGAGTATTAAAGGCCTGCCGCCTTCCAGCAGTGTCTTCAACTCACTTGTGTACATGCCCTGTCAGATGATGGCTCTTATTGTGGTTGCCAGCTCTTACTGTGAATCTCAGTTTGACTGCTGTACTGAGTGAGACCAGCCTGGGAGGGAGAGTTCAGGGAGTTAAATAATTCGGTGGAAACTGTGAGTTCTAATCCTGGGATTTTCTGTAGGTGTATTGGATAACTTGAGCAGTTCACTTTCCTACTGTGTACGTATTTTAGATTCTCCTTTCTTAAAGGGGAAGATTATTAAATCCCACCCTGAAAGGATTGAGCATAAAGTAGCATCTCCAGATTTTAACATTTTTGCTTCAGGAAGGTAGACTGTAATTTGAATTATTTTTCTCAGACTTCCATTCTCAGAATTCTTTACTACTGCGTTGAAGGTCCTTTCCCAGTGTTCAGCTCTAAATTAGATTTTCTTTTCCCCTCATGATATTTTCCAATAGAACTTTCTGCGATAATGGAAATGTTCTGTTTCTGTTCTGATGTGTATTCTGACGCAACGAATCAATTCTCCAGACACCAACTGGGTATCTAAACAATACAATTAAATTCTGACACTCTCTACCTAGAGTTAGTGTCAGATCCCACAAGTTAAAGGGGGTCATTCCCACAAGATGCCAGTTGAAAGTTCTAAGCCACCTGTACTTCTGACTGATTATGAATCAGAGGGTCCCGTGACACTCTCCACAAGTTTAATAATTTGCTACAACAGCTCACAGAATTCAGGAAAACAGTTTTCTTATGTTTTCTGGTTTATAATAAAGTATACCATCAGGAACAGCTCAATGGAAGACATGCATAGGGCAGGTTATAGAAGAGGAG